GGCGCGCTGCGCACGCTCGGCCGAGCGCTCCCATTTTGAGCCGGGCTGCGCCCGCGCGGTTCAGAGCGCTGCGTTGTTCTCCGCCTCGCGCTTTGGGCGACGCCTTGAGCTGTCTTGCCCCAGCGGAGTCGTTCCCAGCTCTGGAAGCGTTTTTCTTAAAAGTGCTCATCACTCTTTGCAAAGCTTTCTCTCCCTCCCTTGTTGAGACAACGCGACGAGTCTCATCCCCCCAGCCTATGATGCTATTATTGCAAAACCGCCCAAACCTGTTAACTAGTGGGCCGCCCGCGGGACTGGGCATTGGAGGTGGTCAAGGGGCGAGTCACCGAGTGCTGTGTGTGGCACTCGGTGCAAGTAGAGGTAGGCAACTGGCCTGTTTCGGAGTTCCACGCTGAAACAGCAGGCAAGATATAGCCTCTGCCAAGAACAGGTTATAGCCTCTGCCAAAACCTTAATGAACAGGTGGAGCTTGTGGTTATTGGTAGCATGCCCCTTCTTTTTGCTCCTTAGGATGTGTTTCCTTTCTCTTTTTCTACATAATTTTAGGACAGAAAATGTTCTTAGAGCATTTTTGAGAAGAGAAAATTCCCAGAAAGATTAAACAACTTACCCAAAGCCACACAGTGTTTTCATGGCCGTCTAGATTCATTCAAGGCCAAAGCTGTTCTTTTTCACCACACCGTTTGACCTTTTTTTCCCTTTCCATTCCTTTTCAACCTAGACTTTAGATGCATCATTTTGTTCTGTTGGTAACACGCAGGACTTCAGGTAGTATTGATCCTGTTGTACAACAATGCGAACATACTTAACACTACTCAACTGTACATATATAAATGGTTAAGATGGTAAATTGTACGTTACATGTATTTTACCACAAATTTTAAAAGGTGCTCAATAAAAGTTAAGTAAATACTGAGTATTAAGCTTAGACAGCCATAAATATAGTTTAACATCAGAAGGTGAGCTATGGGAAAAAGCATAATAAATGAGATCTAAAGTGATGTTTTCAATTGTCCTAATAAATACTTGTGCAGTATCAATTTTTTTAAAAAAGTAATGTTAATCCTTAAGCTGATTCTAAGCAAGCCAGTAAATCCTGTGGAGCCAAAACCACCTTTTCTGAGGGTGAGTGAGGAGGCAAATAATGTATGTGAAAAACTATCTGCTTTATATATTTCCAGATTCCTTGCATCTGCAGAGCCTCTAGAGATGTGCAGCCAGATGCATTTTTATGCAATTTACACAGTGTCCTGTGAAAACTGTCAGGTGTAAGATATATAGCTCACATGGGAAGGTGGAAATGACGTAGAAATTATCACTGAATGCATCAACATGATTAAATCTCAAATATAACATTGAAAAAACTACAAAATATGTAAGTTATTATACCTCTTTAAGAACACCTAGTCATTGTTTATGAGGGCAAACATGTATATATAATAAGAATAAAAATCGGACAAGTAGGTTACACACCAATTTCATGACAGTGGTTGCCTCTAGACAGGCAGGGAGGGGAATGAGATCTGGGAAGTGTACAAAAGAGGATTCAACTATTAATCACCCACGTGAAACAAAAGTGTTAGTATTTTTAAAAATCTCAGTGGGGATACAAGGTTTTTTCTTAGACAAGTCTCCAAACTTCTCTTGGTTTTAAATGCTTCATTTAAAAGTGATGTTGAAATATCACAGACATTGAGCTGATGTGCTCACTATGAACAAGCTGAATGGTGTCATTCAAACTGGGGGATAGTTGGGAGCGGGGATCAGAAGTCAGACTGGAGGCCCAGAGGGTGCTGGTTGAAAGAACAGACGAAAGGAACCTTATTTTCAGAGATAAACATATTCAAATCCAACAGGGATAAAGTGCGATGCTCTCTTTTATCCCATCTCTCTTTCATTCCATGTTGCAATCGCCAATGGAAAGGCTTTAATGAGCGGGAACTTCACAGAAGACAGCACTCTTAACAGCATGGTGTTAAAACTGGTCTCTTTCTGGATGAACCCGTTTTGAAACCATAAATGTTAGCTGGTAATACATAGTAATTTAGTATTTCATCTACATACCTCCCCCAGGCCACACCCCCACCCCCACCTCCAAAGGCTTTGTTTATTCATTTACATACAACCTGGTCATGTAAAAAAAAAAAAAAAACCACCAGGCTGAAATTGGACAATCTAGGTTCTAATTTCAGTTTGGCTACTTACAGATCCTTTGTTAACTCAAAGAAATCATCAATCTCTATGAGCTTGACGTTTCCTTTTCTTTTTAAATTGGAGATATACTAATACTGTCTATTTCAAAACTATGAAACACAATACAAACCTAGGGTTTACATTTAAGTTGGAGGAGAGTATATTCTTATCTATTTTAGTGAGGAAAGACTTTTGTTTTTTTGTTTTTTTTTTGTGGAGAGGTATGTGTTTTGTTTTGTTTTGTAATCTGCTGCCTATAAGAACTGCTTCACACTTACCAAGGAAGCTCCGTCTGGAATTTTGAATTTTTGGTTATTTGCCAGCACTTGTTTATATAGTTCTATCACAGCAAGTTATCATTGTGGGCCTTACATGAGTTATTTTACACATTGTATTTTCCAGTCTTCCTCATTCGATTTCTTTTTTATGCCGGTATTCTCACTCCATCCCTTTTTACATGGTGGGTGCTCAATAAACTTAATTAAATTAGACCGGATTGTAAAATTTTCCACATTTGGAGTTTTTCTTATTAAGGCGTGCCATCTGCTGGTTCCAAGGTGTATCTGTTAGTCAGCCTGAATTCCTTAATCTGATAAATTAAAATTAATGTTGGAGCATTTATGAGTTTGTATGTTGGGCAATTTTCCCACGTCCTTCCACTTCCTGTTGCAGGTGCTATTCTTTCAGTGAACCAGTTGTGAATTCTTTTGCCTCCAACTGTCTTTTACCTGTTGGTCACTCTTAAAACCTGGAAAAGTGGAGTTTACGTTTCGGAGCCTCATAGTGACCAGAGCAATATAATTGGACATGCTCAGTAGGTTGGCCTGATTTAGAACATAAATACGTCTTGAATGAGGGCTTTCAATGGTGCTTATTTCAGGATTGGATGTAGCTTCGCTTTAGCATTATATTGGGAGACTGCAGCCCCTCCTACCCCACTGGCACTCACACTTTTTCATTTTATCCGTGTGCCCAATTTTGGAGCCAGCCCTCTTAGATCTCCTGGCCAATCAAGAAACCACACATTGTTGCCTAAGAGACCCCGGATGCCAGAGAAAGGATTTATGGATAGTGATTGGACTACTGGAAGCTAAGGAGGGGTGGGGACTGGGCAGAGTCAAAGAAAAAGCAACTATGGCAACACCAGCGCTTGAGGCTTGAAGAGGGAGACGAACTAAAAGGTGAGGTAGTGGATAGTGCATGAAAAAGATGGAGACTCTTTTGAGAGCTCCACTCTCAGATCCTCTTGGGCCTCTCAGATGCCTTGTTAGTGTTCCTGGAGATTACATTTTGCTCTGTTTCAGCTGCAGTTGAAGTGCCAGATGCTAAATATTTGTGAAATTAATGACCAACAAATAATTATTTCTATATCTATCAAGAACTCTCTCTCTGTATTGTATTATAGCTTTTGCTTTCCTTCTAACTAGTTGATAAGATAAAATTGTATTTTATCTTATGGTAAATCTAACCATACCCTATTGCCTGATACTTGATAATATCTGAGGTTCCCTTCTCTAATAATGCTGCAGTGTTCAGTGGGTGCATTGTGTATTAGCAGAGAAACTCAACCCTCTTCTGCTCTGTAAATTCCGAATGAAAACCTGATAATCCTGAGTGTAATCCCAGTACTCAATTCATAATATTCCAAGTTTCACTGTACATTTTCACTAGTTTTAATCCTTAAACAGCCCCCACTCCACCGTTGCATTCATTCATTCAGTTGACTTAACAAAATATCTATTGAGCACATTTATGTTTTATGAGGTTAGGATTTAGGTGAACGATGTCAGAAAACCACATAAGCAAAGAAACAGAGTTTGTATTATTTTCTCTGAGTATTGAGAAGTTCAGTGTGTCTGAGCAGATAATGCATAAAGGGAGAGACAGGCAGATGAAGCTGAAAAGATAGGTTGAGGTAAATTCATAGTGGGCCTAGATGTGCATGCTAAAGAGTCTGGATATTTTGTAGGCATTAGTGAGGTTCTGAAGGTTTTTGAGCTGAAAAGTAATATGATCAACTGGTCCTTTAATAAATACCTCCCTAAATAGAATGTTGGTTACCAGAGTCTAGGGGGTGGGAAGGTGAGATATTGGTTAAAGGGTACAGTTATTAGATGAATAAGTTCCAGAAAGCTGATGTACAGCATGGTGACTATAGTTAATATATACTTGAAATTTGCTGAGAGTACATCTCAAGTTTTCTGAACACACACACAAATGATAACTGTAGGAGGTGATGGATATTAAATCATTTGTGATAATTTTTTCACAATGCATACATATATAAAAACATCACATTGTACACTTTATATAATTTTTATTTGAAAAAAAAAAAAAAACCTCTCTAACAGTAGACTGTAAGCTCCATTAAAGCAAAGACCCTAATATTTGTACCCCTAACACAGGCCTAACATGTCCTTAGTAAAGTTGAATAATGATGACTATGTGAAGAATGGGTTAGAAGATGAAAGTGGAGATGTGTGGCCACTGGAACTTTACCAGAGGACCCATCCTTGCTGTTAAATGTCGAACTAGAACCGTACTTTGGAGGCTAGGACCAAATGCCCTCCTTTTTCCTTTTTATCCAAAGAAAAATTAAAGATGAACATTCAGGGAAAGCCATTAAAGAGAAAAGAGGTCACAACAAAGCAACAAGCTTTATATGTCTAAGGAGGAGAAGACAACTTGCTTTGTCTTGTTGACGGAGTGGGGACAATTATTTTTGAGTATGTTACATAAAACCATCTGTCTTTGAATAGTGCTCAGAGGTCTATACCATGAATGTGTGTGCATGCAGATATGCACACTGCCCATCTTCTGGAACAGAAAGAGGAGGAAAAAATTGTAAAAGGACAATGACAAAGGACAGGGCAGGACACCCTATTTGCATGCTTCACCAGGACTATAAGAGGGCTGCTTCTTCTGGATAGGCCCATCTCCTGAAAACCAAACTTTTCTCAAGTTGATTTGAAGAAAGTCTAATTCAAGTAATTTCTATTTCTGAGGAACAAGAAAAAATAAAACAACCAGTGCAGGTCCTTGGAGAGGCCCCCACATAGCTTCTTTGTCCTAAATTTGTCAAAAATTTTGCCTAGCTTGTTTCCTATACAAACTGGGAAGAGAGTTTCTCAGCTTACAGCAGGAGTTTTTAACCTGAGGTTGGCAAAATTTTATGTTCACATGCATTTTTCCAGGGAGAAGATTCATGGCTTTCATCATATTCTCAAAGAGTTCTTTGGCCCTCAAAAAAAAAAAAAAATTAAAAACAACTGATTTAATAAGAAAGGTCAAATGTAAATAAATAACAACAGACAAAAGAAATATGTAATTTTTAACTGGGCAGATCTAGACTCAGTGACCATGCTTTGTATCTATAATTTGCCTACTCACATGTACTTTTGTAGCTGCCAGTTAATAATACTGTGATGAAATCATTTCTTATCCCTTTTGCAATTTAGCTAAATGTGTGTGTCTCAGATATTTAGCTGTTGGGGGCTGAGAAGACTGTGAGGGCTGATCTGAGCCCCCTTTATTCCAGTGGTATGGTGGCAGCAGGCAACTGCAAGAAGGTATTATCTAAAGATGCCACTGAGGTTTTAAAACATTGGCTTTATCTTCAGCTATAACTTAAACCTGAGAGAGAATATTACATGTCAAGCGAGAGCCTCAAAGATTTTAGATCTAACATTTGGGGGAATCTCATATCAGTCAAAAACTAATGCTTTTTTTTTTTTTAATGTCCAATATTTGCTGTTGTAATATTTGGAGCCAATAAATCAGGCAGGCAAGCCCTGGTCCCCTCAGGCATCACCACTGCTTTCCTATATGAAACCCACCTTCAAGAGAGGAAGGAAGATGGAAACACTGAAGACATATATCGAAGCTACCATCAGTCTGCTTTAAATATTTTCCACCTTAAAAATATTTTGTTATAGCCCTCTGAAGGACAGATATTGAGGAACTCTATGAATGGCAGGAAGTTCTAAGAAAGGCTGCAAGGAAGTTACTACTTATCGAGGCCACCTGTCTGACAGGCAGTCTGCTGGACCCTTATTCTCTAATCTTCACAACAGCAGTTGAGGGTAGCTACATACATTTGTATTTTTCAAATGAGGAAACTGAAGCTTAGATAGATTTAATAACTTGCAAAAAGTTATACAGCTGCTAAGTTTTAGAGCCAGGATCAAACATGTATGAAGTAAAAAAAAAAAAAAAAATTGGTTGTAAACAACAGAAATAGATTCTAGCTAATACAAGCAAAAGAGGAAATTTATTGCAAGGATATCAGGGGGCTCACAAAATGGACAAGAAATAACTAGAGGCTTCTGAGGGATGAGGCGGCAAGAACAACCTAACAGGATCAGTGCTACTTTTAATCACCTTAGCTGTAAAGTAAGGATAAGTCAGTGTCAATCTAACTGGCCTAACTCAGTCTCGTGACCACCTCTTGGCCAGGGAAGGAGAGGCCACCTTGATTAACCAACCCAACAAACTCTGAACAATGGGGAGAAAGTAATTCATCATGGAAATTATAATGCTTTAATCGAATGAAGGCAGACAGATAGTGGGCATCTAAAAACTACACATTTCCCCCAATAAGCCCAAATCTGTTCATCTCTAAAGACTTAGCTTTGTACATTATATCGTTCTACTTTTTAAATATAGTATCAAGCTAGAACCCTCGTTACTTAGATGTCAGAATGTTATGAGGAGAGGAAGAAAGACACAAAGGACAAGGAGTGTTTCATGTTGCACTATGATTTTATAAATTAAAATACTTATTTCCGCCAAGGAGTGATTCTAGATTTCCCTCTGTGGTCCAGTGAAAATAGAGTTAAATAGACCTGTATCTGATTTCCAATTCTACCACTGTCTATGAAACCTTAGGCATGTAACTTCAATGAGTTTCATTTTCTTTACCTACAAAATGAGCTAAAACCTACCACCTCACCAGATTGTTATGAGCTTCAATTGGGCATATAAAGTACCTGATATATAAAGGGCTCCCAATAAATGTTCTTTCCCCCAATTCCCTCTCTCAACATACTAAAAGATTCTGCAGTATTAGTATTTTTAGCATTCTAAAGATTATATTATTCATTTCTTCTGATAGGTATAGTTTTTCTTATGGAAGAATATCCAGTTATTTCATGATGGCATTTGCACCTCCGAAAAGCACAGATGGTCCCAAAATGCAGACAAAGATGAGTACCTGGACACCCTTAAACCATCAGCTTTTGAATGACCAAGTAAGTGATCAAAGCTATTTTATCAGTTGCATCCATGCCTTAAAGAAAAAAAAAAATGTAAAATTTTGGTTATCAGAATATGAACAGAAATTGTGTAGGATTGTGTAACAGATGAAAAAAAAAAGGATTTTTGCAAAAACTTGTATTGAGCCCTCACTATATGGGCAAGGCTGGCAATAGACACAGAGTCCCTACCTGTGATGAAAATGTCTTAGATTTGTTTTTTCCTCCACTGTCATTCCTCCTCTTTCTCACCTCAAATACCATTTTTTTCTTCAATCACTGGTTCTCTGCTAGAACTACCAGGATGAGAGAGAAGATGATAGTCAGATTTCCAAAAAAAAAAAACAGATTTTCTTGCTAGAGTTGCAGTTACTGGATAATGCTGCACATTTAACCAAATAAACAAAATGAAAAAATCTCATCTGATTACAAGCCTCATGTTCTCCTAAAAAATTGATGTCCCACCTGCATTCTGGGTGGCACTGGTAGAATATACCTATAAAGGATTGCAAGGGTGGGAAGCTGAGTATCATGCTGGGGTGCGAGATTGGCTAGCCTCTGGGGATTTCTGTTCCTGCTTCAGTTAGGGGCAGAATTTACCAACAGATCTGTAAGTTACTGTTATCAATTCGCTTGACCCCTGAACAATACAGGTTTAAACTGCACTTATATGTGGATTTTTGACTGTGCGGCGAGTCGGCAGTCAAATGCCTTCTATTTCTAAGGGTCAACTATACCTATTAGAAGGACCACACCTAGTGGCAGTAATATAAAGTCGACATCAATAAAACTGACCTCATTATCTTGCTCATACACACCAGTTCCTCCCCCAGAGAAAGACACCACTTTACATCAAATCACTCAGGCCAGAAATCTTTCTTCCCCTTGTCAGGTCTAGGATTTGATTTTCCCTAATTTACTAGTTAATAACTTAGCCTGTTACTTATGGCATTGAAGACACTGCAGTTTCACAGTAAAAGACACAAGATTCTTGGGTCAGAGACAAAGAACTGTATTATTCACGGAGCAGCAAGCAGTATGAACATCATGTTTGTATTGGTTCTCCTTGTCCAACTTGTCCCACAGGAGTGATGCAAAGGTCCCAGATAAATACCGCATACATCATGGGTTTGTATCACAGCTGAGGAATTATGAGCCCAGGGAATCCATTGGTTTTATAGTAAGCAGTAAGCAAATCTACTCTTGGTCCCGAAGGAAGATAGGAAGGGCCTCATTGCTCAAGGTCACCTTGCTGTACACAACTTGAAGAAATTGCCCAAGAATAGAGCAGTCGGGGCCTTGCATTCCTGGTATTCCAAGACATTTGGGAATGTTACAGGTCCAGGGAGGAGTATCTCCCAGCACCCTCTCTCCTCCACATTTAATTCATTTTCAAGTTCTAGGAGTCTTTCTCCTAGAGCTCTTCATCTGAGTCCCTTTTCTCCGTATACCTCCAGTTCCACATTCTCAGTTCACACCCTAATCACCCTTTGCCTGGTGCATTGCAGTAATCCCCTAACTGGTTCCAGTGCCCTTATCCCTACCAATCCATCCTCTATTCTAGTCCCAGAATGATCTTCCTAAAATATCAATCTAATCCTATTATATAAAACCGATAATGGCCCTACACCAAAGAGTAAATTCCAAACCCCCATGCATAACATTGAGGACCCTTCACGTGTTGACCTCTGCCAGCTTCCCAGTTCCAAGCACTACCAATGCTTCTTCTCATCCTATATCCAAGCCAACTAAGTGGCCCCCAGAAGAGCCATTCTTTCTCACACCTCAACACCTTTCCAATGCTCTCCTCGTTGCCTCCTATAGAATCAACTCAAATGGGAAGCCTCCTTCTGCTTGTTTTTTTTTTTTGCTTGTTTGTTTGTTTTTGGTTTTGGTTTTATTTTGTTGTTTTTTGTTTGTTTGTTTGTTTGTTTTTTGCTGTCATCACCAGTTACTAGTTTTCCCACTTGACTCTAATGTGTTAAGAGTTGAGATTTGTCTTTTCTCCCTGTGTCTCCAGTGCCTTATATGGTTCCTGAGGCACAAGAAATGGAGTCAGAGTTCAGCTATACTCCCTGGGACCTTCTCCATTGACTCTCACCATTTTTTCCCTATATCCCTCCTTCCTTAGCCTGGATTTGACCCTTTGCCTCTCTGAACCAAACGGATATGCTCATCACTTTGGCAAAGCTGGAGCACCAATCCTGACCCCTCCTGCTCAGTACTTTCCCGTTTTACTCCTCTGATGTGAAATGAGCGATTTTGGGAGTGAGCCAGTGTAGCACTAGGAATAGTGAGAAATAAAAAGGAGAGAGACTAAGAAGGAAAAAGATAAAGGAAATGAGAAAAGAAGAGTATGTCTGGAAAAAAATGAGGGACCAGGAAAGGAAAGGCAGAGAAAGAAAAAAAAATCAGCTTTCGTCTAGTCATAAACAACACAGGTCTGTTGAAAGTCTTTATTATTCAGCTCAACAATTATTTATTGATCACCTGTTTGCAAGGCTCTTAGTTCTCCAACAGTTTATATAACAGCTTCTTTGCTTTCCCCCAAAAAACCTCAGTGTTTAGTTTTGAAATCTGTTTTCGCATAGAATGGAGAAGGTTTTACACACATGTGAAAAAGTGACTTGAATTGAAATATGTATGTGTTGGATGCCTTGATTTGCAGAATTTTTCTTCAAAAAATTAGAAGTCTTAAGCGATTTAGGAGCTATGGGGGGAAAATATATCTTAATTGCCTGATGGCCTGTTACATGTTGGGTTACTAAAGAAGCTGACTCAGAGACGGGCATGTAGGGTGTTGATTGAGGAAGGCTCTGGGTATCAGCACTGGAAGGGGAGGGGAGAGGAAGGAAAGAGGTTTGGGGCGGAGAAAGAAGATGGGCTGTGATGTAGTCTCAATAAGGCCTCCATTGACTCCATAACTCCCCTAAAGATCATAGACAGGGCAGATCTCAAGCTCAAGACTGTCAGCCAGCAGCACTCCCAACAGGTGAGAGAATAAATAAGTCCTTCAGTCCTGGAGGGGTTTCTGGGCCGTGTGTTACAGCAAGCATTGCATTGGCTTGTCTTAGTTCTTGAATAGCTTTTGTCAACTCTAATGATAATTTCTAGAGATGATATTTATTTTGCTATTCAGACCTTCCATTTTATTCTAAAAAGTTATTTTTTTTTTTTTTGGTTTAGCTAGGTTCTAGTTTGGACTAAAATTATTTTTAAAAATCTTTGTGTGTAATTATACACATGTGTGTGTGTATAAATGTAAATAGACACACACACACATAGAATATATATATGCATATACCAAGCTACTAATCATGGTTTTCCCCCAAAGAAAACCACTAATGTTGGATGGCACTGGAGGAGATGGCTCTGCTAGAAAAGAGCTTTCATTTTTTACTTTATACAGTGCAATAAAATGTCATCTTTTAAACCACTTTTAAAAACAAATATAAATACAAATAAACAAAGAACAATAACTTTGGGAATGGAACATTCTGGAACATCCAGATCAGCTGTACCAATAATTTCCCATATGACTTGAGTAAGTCACTTACCTTCTCTGGGCTTTGCTACCCTCCTTTTATAAAATGAGTGGGTTGGATCAGATGACCATGAAGGTCTCTTCCACATCCAGCATTCTAACTGTATGAAAGGGATTATAGATGCCAAGGACACAGCTTTCCAGAGAGTATCCATACACTAATTTCATTCCTTATAAATAAAACAGGGCATTTGTCACCAATGATCAGTACGATTTTGAGGTCCCATTTTTTTTGTTTTTGTTTTAATTTTGTCTTTCTTCGGTAGTAAAATGTGCAATATATATAACTATTTCAGACAAAAATAAGAGTCACAGGATTTTAACCTCACAGCAGGCTTTAAGCAGAGAGACTGAATTCAAATTCAGATGCTTATAAAAATAGCATCATCAGCATAGGCAAATGTAACAGATTTCAAAATAATTCAGGCTTGGTGAATTTTGAGAGGAGGAATGCTTTGAAAATAAATGTATTTCTTTTCCATCTAGTCTTGTGAATTTCGAGAGGAGGAATGTTTTAAAAGTATATGATTTCTTTTCATCTAGTGTTTGAATTGAAAGGAACGAACATTTTGTTTCGAGTATAGTTCACAGATGTAGTACAGTACACGTTAAAAGGGCATGCTGAAAAAGCACCTCGTTATCATTAATCAATCATAATTTAGGAGCCCCTAAATATCTTACTCATACACTGTGGTGATGTCACATGGTGAAATATGTAACTGCAGTGTCAACTAAAATAACAATGTAGGATTTTGATTTAACAGAAGGCTCTGAGTAACCAGTGATATAAACATTCTGGAGGAAAGAAGATCCATTTTAATATTTCCATTTTGAATTGATACTTTGTTTTCTAGCTCTTTATGATGAAAAACAAGACTACAGATCTTTGAAATGAAGACTTGCTTCAAACCAGAGAATCTAAGATTCTAAGTCTAACTGAGGACCTGACAATTAAATAATTTGTCCCAAATTATATTTCTTGTCAAGGGTAGAGTCTGAACTAGATCTGAGTTCGTCTAGTGTTTCTGCCTTCCCTCTTCATTCCCATCAGTTTCTACTTGGGTCCAGATGTCCTTTGGTAAAAAACTGGATTTGCTTGGACTCTACTTAAACTTGGTTGTTGGCCCTTTAAAGAATGTTGTTTTAGACTGAATAACACTCTGGAACAAAAAGCATTTCTTTGAGTGAAAGGATTGCAATCCGAGAGACACAGATTCAAGTAGCAACTCAACTTGTACTTTGGAGAGAGCAAGGAAAGGCGGGGTTTATAAAGGCCAGAACTACAAAATGCAATTCTTTCATGCAAATGAAGGATTGTTGGCTAAGCTTATTTTCTCTATTGTCACTCGGACTCTGCTTAGACTGGTCATTAGCCTGAATAATATTCCGCACCTCCTACCCTACTCCTTTCCTGCTACCTTCTTGCTGATTCCCCTCTCCCCTTCAAGTCAGTGCTCCTTTGTTTCCAGTGCTTCATACTATCATTGGCTACCATGATGATTATCCCATCCTCCTTTTGAAAGGAGGTTGTGGTCTTGGGATCCAACCTTGTCTTCTCCCACTGTAAGGCCAAAGCATGGGCAGTAGTTCATTAAGAATGTGCAGCTGCAAGTCAGGATAGGGAAGATTAAGGTTCTAGTGAGGAATCAAGTACAGAGTTAAGCTGAACACACAATCTGTAACCAGTGATTTTTAAAAATCTGTAAGTATAATCCTTCTGGGCCTCTGCTTGTCCTTTCTAAAATGAGGAAATTGAGCCCCCCCAAACAAAGCCTTTAGGCTTTCTTTTAGCTCTAAAATTCTATGACTTTGGAAGTTTTTTTGTTGCTGTTGTTCAGTCAGTAGGGGTTTATCGAGGGCCTGAATTGGAACCTATGGAGTGTGTAGAGAAAGTAGTTGTAACCTCCGTGGGAAAATAAAATGAACAGATATGACTAGAGAGCCATAACAAACCGTATAGAAACCAAGTAGAGTGTGAGCTGTAAGTGGAGTGTGAGTTAGGAGGAGATAGATCACTGGGCATCGGAAAAGTGCTGGTGCTGATGACTTGGGGTGGGCCATAGAGGATGGTAGGATTTGGTTAGGTAGAGGGGTAGAGTTCAGGAAATATTTGAATCCAGATTTTTGAATCTTCTATATTCTTTAGATTCTCTTCTATTTTTATCTAGAAATTCTGAGTTTAAATGTCACTGTTACTTGAGGGTCTTAGTAACCCAGGTGGCAGTTAATTAGGAGGAAGGAGAGAAGGGCATTCTTTTTCTTTAATGTGCAGACTGTCTACCCAGGATGTATGAGATTTGCTGGCCAGATGCAAAACTGACATTTCACTGGCCTTGAGGTTGTTGTCAAAGCAATCATTTAAATCCCCATTTTGTAATACCTTTGAAACTAGAGTTTGAGAGTCTAAAAAAGGAAGGAAAACATTGTCTGTTAGAAGCATAAAACCAGCTCCTCATCCTCCTCCACAAAAAGGGAAGAAATAGGCCTGAGCTACTTTCCACGTAGGAACATTCTTGCAGGGCTAGAGAATTTAGTAGTGCTAAAAAGAAGGGAAAAACATTGGTTCTAATTTTGAAAGCTGACAGAGTGTATGTGTGGGAGGAAGAGAGATATTCACATCTGTTCATTACTTTCTCTTGCTTCCTCTCTCCATAACTCCTTCCTCTGCCAAACATTCTGATGTTGGTTTTCTCTTCCTCACTCATTGAAATACGCATATGACTGATACTCAGAAAAACACTTCTACACCAATATATAAACGACTCACATTGTACTGATTATTCTATAAGGATATTCATTATCCCAACCACATTTATTCAATCCAGCAAACATGAGTATCTGTGATGTTACACGTACAGCACTTTACACTGGAGATGTGAAGATGAGTAAGACATAGTTTCTGTCCTAAATAGTGTATAACAACAAACCTATACAGATAAACACTGAGTTGTAAGCCTGAAGGTACATATATACAAATTTCTAATCCTACAAACATATAAGTACATGTATACCCACTGACATGTATACATACTGAAATATAAAAACAGCTGTTCTTTCATAAATTTCACAAGTTATCATACTACTGATATTGAAATATTTGGGGAGAGGATCTTCATTTTCCTGCTTTTCCTTTGTCATTTTTCATCTCTTCAAATTCTAAAGTTGATTTCACTTTACAATTCTATTCTTTTCTTGCCTTTAAAAAAACTACTTCTTTTTTATGATGCGTTATTCCACATAGGAAAACTACAAAAGGATAACTTGCCCAAGTTAAAAATAAGTAAAGTACCTTCTCAGGAATGAAATCTGTCTTTTTATACCCAACTGATACAATGAAAAGACTTAATATTTACTTCTTCATACTTCAACGATGTCTTTCTCATAATGGGTATTTCAGCCATTAAATATGAAATCATTCTATTCTTTTTTATTTATTGTAGGTATTCGAAGAAAGAAGAGCTCTGCTTGGAAAATGGGTAACCATTTTAAATATACTTCTACATTAGGTTGTGTTATCATAGAGCCCAATGAATTCAGTTTGGATAAAAGGCAATGAGTGATTGTTCATAGTTTGGTACTTTCTGTATCAAGGTCCACTCAGGAAAACAGAAATCATACTGGTTATTTAACAGACATAATTAAATTTAATAAATTGAACTGGTTAAACAAATCCTGGAAAACAGAAAGGATAAAAAGGGAACACAGATACCACAGAGACAGTGCTGCAGGAAATAGCTTCTACCAGCTTTACTGTTACCTCAGGAGCTCAGAGAAAGGACCCTGTGGAGCTGGGACAAGCCCTGTAGGGGACCCAGACTTCTAAGGAATAAAGCAGATGACAGCTAGCCGATTCTGATATATTTGAGGAAGTGCAATGGTTCTGGGTGTGTGGAAAACATTCACTACTGGAATCACCACCTACTGCCATGGTGCAGAGGGAGGGTGATACTGCTAGGAACAGCAAGGACACAAAAGAATAAAGCTCTTCCGCCTCATTTTCCCTCCAGTGCTGCCTTCCGCATTGGCATCATCTACTCAGTTGTCAAAGGAAGAATGTGGTTGGTAGAGAGAGCCCCAGGCTTCTATACTCAAGGTAGAATACAGAAAGGTACGTTTGGATCTAAGAGACAATAGCTTAGTAACCAGCACAGTTCTTCCATTAGGCTACTTAGCATTTATATACACCCTTCTACAAGTTGTTACAATAACAAGTTCATGCTTTTATCTAACAAGATACAACTATCCTTTATACAAATGAAAACTTTCTC